CTGTTGCTGCTGCTGCTGCTGCTGTTGCTCACTTAGGAGGGCAGGAGGCTCGCCAGGGAAGCCACAGGGAGGCTGAAGCCCCTGTTGCTGAAGAGACCATGCCCGTGGAGTCCTTTGCTGCTGCTGCTGCTGCTGCTGCTGCTTCTGCTGCACGTACTGGTAGTGGTAGTGCTGCTGCTGCTGGTTCTGGGAGTGGGAATGCTGCTGCTGCTGCTGCTGCTGCTGCGGGTAGTGCTGCTGCTGCTGCTGGTAGTTCTGCTGGTAGTGATGCTGCTGTTGATAATGCCACTGCTGCTGCTGCTGCTGCTGCTGCTTGTGCTGCAGGTCATGGGCATAGAGGGGCGGCTTTGTTGGAGTAAGAGGGGGGGGAGAGGCAACCCTAAGAGGAGGTGGCTGCTGCTGCTGCTGCTGCTGCTGCTGCTGCTGCTGCTGCTGCTGCTGCTTCTGCTGCACGTACTGGTAGTGGTAGTGCTGCTGCTGCTGGTTCTGGGAGTGGGAATGCTGCTGCTGCTGCTGCTGCTGCTGCCTCTCCCTTTCCTGGTGGCTGTGCTTTGCTGCTGCTTTTGGCGAAGCAGCAGCAAAGCTGCTGCTGCTGCTGCTACTGCTGCTGCTGCTGCTGCTGCTGCTGCTGCTGCTGCTGCTGCTGCTGCTGCTGGTTGTCTTTGTGTCCACTACAGCGCCGCTCCCACGCAGCAGAGGCAACAGGGGCGTTTGTGGGGACCCCGAATTCCCCTCAGCATCTGCTGCTTCTGCTGCTGCTTCTGCTGCTGCTGCTGCTGCTGCTGCTGCTGCTGCAGCGGCTGCTGCTGCTGCTGCTGCTGCTGTGGGGGAAGCCACACGTGCTGCTGCAGCGCAGCACAGAGTCAAGGCAGGAAACTCCACTTTTGCAGCTCTTTTGATTTATTTCTTTCGCCTTTTATATCTCATTTCTTTATTCAATCATTTAATTATCGAAATTTTAATTATTTAATTGAATAAATAAATAATTATTCATTATTTATTTGTTTATTTATTATATATTTATTTATTCATGTATTTATTTATTTATTTATGTTTTCTGGGGGCCTGTGCTCGGGCGTTGGGGTGTATGTACACTGCGTTTGCTGCAGCTGTTTCTCTTTTTTTATCGTCTCTTTTACGAAATAAAAATAAAAAAAATAAATTAAAATAAATTAGAGTAAATCAAAGAAATAAAAGAAATCAAATAATAAAAACCATTTAAATCTTCTTATGTTTTAAAAGTCTTTTGAAGTCTTTTGTTGGGGTGTACATACACCTCGTCTGCGCCTTTCTGACCTGCTGCTGCAGTTGCCTCTTTGCTTCTTTTTGCTTCTCGCGGTTTCCTTTTTGCTGCTTCTGCTGCTGCTGTTGCTGCTGTTGAGGTCGCTTTGCTGCTGCTGCTACTGCTGCTGCTGCTGCTGCTGCTGTGTCTGCTGCTGCTGCTGCTGCTGGCTTTGCTTCTAATTGCATGGCCTCGTTCCGATCTGGCGAGAGGCTTCAGCTCTTTTTGCTGCAGACCGAAACTCGTGCTCGAATCTGCTGCTGCTGCTGCTGCTGCTGCTACTGCTGCATCCGCTCCTGTTGTTGTTGCTGCTGCACCCGATTCTGGTGGTTGTGCTGCTGCTGCTGCTGCTGTTGCTGCTGCTGCTGCTGCTGGGGCTTCTGCTGCAGATAAGCTTAGCTCGGGAGATGGTAGACGCGGCTGCGGCACAGCCAGAGTGTAAACAGAGTCTGAAGAGACTTGCTGCTGCTGCTGCTGCTGCTGCTGCTGTTGCTGCTGCTGCTCCTGCTGCACTTGGCCTGAGGTGTCAGTACAGCAGGCCCAAAACCTAAAGAGCTGCCTAGACACCTCAGCGGCGCCGTCCGCGCCCTCATGCTCCCCCCTCCCGCTGCTGCTGCTGCTGCTGCTGCTGCTGCTGCTGCTGGCGCAGCCTGCTTCTTGTGCAACTCCATGGGGGGCTTCTTTTTGATTTGATTCTGGAAAAGAAGTAAAAGTGGCAGCAGAAGAAGCCAACAAAGCCTCGAGCGAGGCGTACCTGAGGTGTACATACACCTCAACTGGCATTTGCTGCTGTGCCCCCAAAATAAAAAAAAAAGGAAAAATAAAAAAAGAAAAACAAAAATAGAAAAAAAAAGAAAAAAGAAATAAAGAAAAAGGGAATAAAGAAAAAAGAAAAGAGAAAAAGGAATGAAGAAATGAAGAAATAAAGAAATAAAGAAATGAAGAAATAAAAATAAAGAGATAAAGGGGAAGAAAGGAGAATGAATAAAAAAGGATTTTAAAAGAGATAAATGAAGGAGATAAATAAAAGAAACAAAAAAGGAAATAAATAAATAAAATAAATCAAATGGATAAATCAAAAAGAAACATAAAAGAAATAAATAAAGAGGCAATAAAATAAATAGAAGAAAAATAAATAAAATAAATAAAGAAGGCGAATAAAATAGAGAGAGAAGAAAAATAAAATAAAAAGGAAGATGGCAAAGGAGACAAATAAGAAAAATAAAAAAAAAAAATAAAAATGAGACATACAGCAGATAAATAAAGAAGGTAATAAAGAAAATAGGTAAAGGAGATAAATTAATAAAATAATAAAGCAGAAAATAAATAAAATAAATAAAGGAGAAAGTGAAAAAAATAAATAGATGAGACAAATTAATAAAAAACATAAATGAGGTAAATAAAGAAAATAAATGGAGGAAAAAGTAAATAAAAGAAATAAAGAAAATAAATAAAGGAGAAAATAAACAAAATAAACAAATGAGAGAAATAAATAAGGAAAATAAATAAAGGATAAAGTAAGTAAAATAAATAAACAGAAGAGATAAATAAAGAATAAATAAAGGAGAAAATAAACGAAATAAATAAATAAAGGAAATAAATAAAAAAGACAGAAGACAGACCAGTTGGTGTGTTTTAATCTTCTCCAACAGTTCAATTCAAATTCCTTTCGAGCTTCCTAAAAAGCAAAAAGGAAAAAGATTTTAAAAAAATAAAGAACGCGAAATGGATTTAAAAGAACAAAAAAAGTAAAATAAAAAGAAAAAGATTTTAAAAAGAACGAAAGAAAGAGAAAAAGATATAAAAAAGAAAAGGCAAAGATTTAGAAAACAGAAAAAAGAAAAAGATTTAAAAAATGAAAAGAGCAAAGGGAATGAAAAAGAAAAAGAAAAAGAAAAAGATTTTAAATAAATAAAAAGGAAAATAAAAAATGACGAAAGTATGAATTGGCGAGGAGACAAAGGCGGAAGGCGGCGAAGAAAAGTCTTTCTTTGGCATTTTTGCTTCATTTTTTGCGCATTTTGCAAATTTAAAGAAGTGAATTAATTAAATTAATTAAATTAATTAAAATAAACAAAAATTTGCACTTAAAAAAACCCAGGTTCGCCTTTATTGAACCAAATCGACAAAAACGCGCAAAAGATTGACACCGCTCCCAGGTGTCTGTACACCCCAAGGGCCACTGGCGACTTCATTTGAATTTCAGGTTTTTAATTTTAAAATTAAAGATGAAATTTTATTTAATGGATGAATAAATGAATTTGAAATTGATTAATTAAATGAATTAATGAATTATAAATTAATTAACTAAAAGATTAATTAATTAATAGTTGTTTAATTCAAAGATAAATGGACTTTAAATTAATGCATTAGAAGGAAATGGATTCATAAAGAAATGAATTAAATATTAATGAATTAAATCAATCCATTAAGTACTATATAATGAACAATAAAAATAAATAAATAAATAAATAAATAAATAAATAAATAAATTAATTAATTAATTAATTAATTAATTAACAAACAAATAAATAATTAAATAAATAAATCAAGCGATAAGGCGAATTAGTGACTGGTCAAATTAATAAATGATCATAAGTTATAAATTAATTAAAATCATTTAATTCAATTAAAAATCAAATAAAACTAAAATCTAAAATCCTAAAAGCCTCACTGGGGGCAGCTCATGTTCAATTGCCCTAAACTTTCCCTCCAGCCTGCGCGCAGGCAGCCGCAAACCCTTTTTTAGGGTTTAGGGTTTAGGGTTTGGGGTTTAGGGTTTCGGAAGCAAACAAAGCCACTCCGCTTTCGGCTCACATGCAAAGCTCCTGCAGGGCGTTGAGGCGCTGCAGCTGCGCCACACAAACAGCTAACAAATAAGCTAGCTAGCTAGCTAGCTAGCTAGCTAGCTAGCTAGCTGGCTAGCTAGCTAGCTGTTCGGGTAGCTGGCTATAGAGCTTTGTGCGCAGCCAGCTAGATAGTGCTGCAGCTAGCTGGCGGGTCCTATTGCTAGTCAGATAGCTTGCTACCTGGGTAGCTTCTTAGCCAATCAATTGCGTGGCTAGCTAGCTAGCTAGCTGGCTAGCTAGCTAGCTAGCTAACCAGCTAGCTAGCTACAGGCAGATTCATAGACCACAGCCAGATAGTCGTCTACCCATTCGGCTATCTAGCGGGCCGCCGGCCTAGCTAGCTAGCTAGATATCTGGCTAGGTATCTATATAGCTAGCTAGCTAACTAGCTGCGCAGTCATCTGCGCTAGCTAGCTAGCTAGCTGCGCAGTCATCTGTGCTAGCTAGCTAGCCATCCAACAACCCTCCCGTTATTCGAAGCGCTTCATGGAAGGTCTGCTAGCTAGCTATCTAACTCTCGTCCTGAGGAGCTGGCCAAGCACCTCTTCAGCTAGCTAGCTAGCTAGCTAGCTAGCTAGCCCACCGGGTGGCCCAACTAGCTCGCCAGCCACCCACGCAGCTAGCTACATAACTAGCTAGCTGTCTATTTGGCTCGCCAGCCAACCTAGCTAGCTAGCCAGCGAGCTAGCTAGCTAGCTAGCTAGCTAGCTAGCTAGCTAGCTAGCTAGCTGCTCACTGTGAACTTGAGGGCGTAGGCCTCTTGAAGGCCGCGAAAGGCCGTCTGCAGTTTTTGGCGAAGTTCGGAGCCGCTGGCCCCCGCGAAGTCCGCGAGAGCAGCAGCTTCCGCCCCCTCCACCCGCAGGCCTGAGCAGCAGCAGCAGCAGCAGCAGCAGCAGCAGCAGCAGCAGCAGCAGAAAGGGGGGGTGGAGGTGGGGGGCACGGGGGGGGAGGGTGCAAAGGAGCAGCAGAAGGAAAGGCGAAGCGGCAGCAGCAAGCGAATAAAGAGCAGCAGCAGCAGCAGCAGCAGCGGCAGCAGTGGCTAATTATTCAGATTCGGGAGCAGGTGAAACTGTCAGGCTCCTGCTGCTGTTGTTTATCTGCTGCTGATTTCATTTCTTTTGCTTTGTTTTGATCTTTTAATTTTAAACCTTTTATTTTAATTAAAAATATTTTTATTTTCAAAATGATATTTTGGCAGCAGCAAACAGCAGCTACCTGGATTTAGCTGCAAGTAGTTATGCGTGTGCTCGTAGAAAAGGCGCTTGCCGGGGGGTCTGCAGCAGCAGCAGCAGCAGCAGCATCAGAAGCAGCAGCAGCAGCTGGAGTGTACGGAGTGCTCAATAGAGCAGCAAAAACAAAAAAGGAAACAAAAGAGTCATTCCCAACTCACTTCTAGCCTCAGCAAGAGCAGCAGCAGCCGCAGCAGAAGCAACAGCAGCAGCAGCAGCAGTAGCAGCAGCAGCAGCAGTAGCAGCAAGGTGAGGTGTATGTACACCTGAACGTACGTGGCCAAGAAGTATTCGACGCATTTTTTGTTTTCTCTCAAATACGAAACCAGCAATCGGCGGAACTCAACCTGGAAAAGGAATTTAAAGAACATTTTTTGAATTTAAAGTCAAAATAGATTTAAATTGAATTTAATTGAATTAAATTGAATTAAATTGAATTAAATTAACTTGTAATTGAATTAAATTAGTTTGCAATCGGTTTAAATTGGTTTAAATCGAGAAGAATTGGTGGAAAATTCAAGAACTGAAACGAGAAATGCAAAAGAAGAAAAACTGGAAGAGGAACCAAAAAAGGAAGTCTGCTGCTTTTTTTTCAGGACTTTTTTGGAAGTTAAATGAAATAGAAATCAAAAAAGAATGAATTCATTTTAAAGTTTTAAATGAATTAAGTTGACATTTAAATCCGTTTCTCCTGTTTTTTGCATGCATGCACCAGGTGTCTGTACACCCCGTCAGGTGTACCTGCAGCTTCCGGCGAGTTTCTCTTTGCTCTCTATTCAAAGCCTCCAAAAGTCTCAAACACTCTGAAAAGATAATTAATTAATTAATTAATTAATTAATTAATTCGTTACATTTTATTTGATTAAATCAATTATCGAATGAAGGAATAGTTATCAAAAAAGTGCATTTTATCTTTGGGTTTTTACAATAAAAAAGCAAAAAAATAATTGATTTAAAAAATGGTTTATTAATAAACGGATTTTGAAATTCATTACTTCGTTTGTAACTATTTATCTATTTATTATCTATTTATATTTACTAATTTATATTTATTTATTTATATTAATTTATTTATTTATATTTATTCAAATTGATTAATTAATTAATTTATTTATTTATTTTTATTCGTTTATTTATTTTCATTTTTGGGCAAATGCAAACCTGTTTGGGCGCTCGCCAAGGCGCGCAGTTTAGACGCAGCGGAGGGACTGCAATTAAAAATAAAATAATGACAAATAAATAAACAAATAAATAAATAAAGTAATTAATTAATTAATTAATTAATTAACTAATTAATTAATTAATTAATTAATGGTCTAAACTTTAATAAATAAATAAATAAAAAAATAACAAATAAATAAGGGGAGAAGAAGACAAAGAAGTGCAAATAAATCGGATTAAGAAAAAATATGAATTAATAAATGCGCAAGTTATTTTAATTATAAATTAATGGATAGAACAATAAATAATAAATAAATAATAAATAATGAACTGGTTCATTAAATATATCAATAGATAAATAAATAAATATATCGTGCAAAGGAAGGAACAAAAGTAACTTTGACAAATAAATAAATAAACAAATAATGAAGTAATTAAAAGAAAGAAAGCTCCTGGTAAGGAAAGAGAATAGGGGCTTTTCTTGTTTTTGGAGAATCCATTTTTTGAAAATAAAAAAACGAAAAACTGGAAACAAATTAAAGGGAAATAACATAAATAAATAAACCCACCTGCGGGGATGCTGGGCACTAGGAGGCGCAGGGACCCTAGAAGCAGCAGCAGCAGCAGCAGAAAAACCAGCAGCAGCAACAAGAGCCTCAGCAGCAGCAGCAGCAATAAGAGCAGCAGCAGCAGTAACAGGAGCATCAGCAGCAGCAGCAGCAGAGGGGGGGTTAAGGACTTTTTGATTTGTTTTGAAAAGGAAGCTGCAGCAGCAAAGGTGGTGCTGCTGCTGCCTACCTTGGCGGCTCTGTGTTGATGGAGCTTTTCATTATGGGGGGCCCTGTGTTTTTTGTGTTAATTAATGGCTTTTTTGGAGTTATAGCCTTTTAAAAACGAAAAACATTTAAATAAATAAATTGAATTAAAAAGAAATGCAAAAAAACGAGCTGAAACAGCCGCATGTACACCGCAGCGGGACTGCGGGTCCGAGGTGTACAGACACCTCGCCGGGGCGCAACAAAGACCCAAACGGAACTTTTTTTCACTTTTTATTTTTCTTTCCTTTTCATTTCTTCTATTTTCAAACTTTCTTTTCATTTCCGCCGCGAAAGGCCGCGCGCGGGGCAGCAGCTGGTGCAGCGGTGTGCAGCAGAAGCTGCGCAGCTCCCAGGAGTCCAGATATTGTGCCAAAAATGCAATTTTTTTTAAAAAATGAAATTTTTATTCTTAAATGGTACATTTATTTCCAATCTTTCGAAAACAAACCAAATAAAAGCAGCGGATGTGGCTGCGGCCGAAGAAGCTGCGCGGCTGCAGCTGCAGCGGCTTCCCGCTTTCGGCGTTTTCAAGTCTTGAAATTCAAATAAGTTCCATTTTTTGTCTTTTTAATTCAAATTAATTCAAATTCTTCAAATTAATTCAAGTCAATTCAAATTAATTCAAATTCTTTGCTTTTAAATCCCAATTGAATCCATTTCTTTATTTCCACTCTTTTTCCGCCTCCGAGGTCACCGCCGCGTCGCTCGCGGTGTATGTGGAGCTCCCGCAGTCGCGGGAGGAAAGGAAAGGAAATTTGCGGATTAATTTGAATCAATTTAACTCATTTAATTCATTTAATTTAATTCATTTAGTTAATTTAATATCGTTTTCAGCCATTCGAGCCCCAGAAAAAATGTTTCGAGCCACAGAGAGAGACGCACACCGGCGCGCGGTGTACATACACCGCACCGAACAACAGCAGCAGGACTCGTTTAGTTTTAAAATTTAAATAAATGAAAGTAAATATTAATTTTAAATTCAAACTCATCTAAAAGGGCCCAAGTCTCTCCATTTGTACTTCTCTTATAGCGCAAGCACTGGCCACACTTACGTGTGCGCATTTGTCCTTAAAAAGGAATGATAAAAAGGTGAATAAAAGGATTAAAGAAAAAGATAAAAATGAAATTATGAATATATTATCAGGAAAAGAGAAAAACAGCAAAGAAGAACCAAAAAAGAAACAGTTTAAATGTCAATAAAGACCCACTTTTTACACTTTTCTTTTTGCAAAATACTTTCTAAACTACTCCCCTATTGCATTTACATGCATGCAGCTCAGGTGTACGTACACAGCAAATTAACTGCGAAAACAATTTGACGCTTCCAGCCACCAGCAGCAGGGGCCCCCACGGCCCTTTTTTAGCACCCCTTGGGGGCCCCCAGGGGCCCCAAAGGGTACTAAAAAGGAAACCCTTTGGATAATAACGGAACTTGGGGGCACCTCAGGGGCCTCTAAAGCTGCCTTGGAGGGGCCTCAGGGGCCCCTCTAGGGTCCTTTTTGGGGCCCCAAATGGGGCCCCCCATGGGGCCCCTAAGGGGCCCCAAAGGGGGCCCCTAAGGGGCCCCCAAGGGGCCCCATTAGCGATCTTTAGAGCCCTGAGCGCTCCTCGGCGGCCCCTCTAAAACCTCTCAAAGGCCCAGGGGGCCCCCGGGGGCCTCTTGAAGGCTTTCTGGAATCCCCAAGGGGCCCCCATGGGGCCCTGGGGGCCCCCCTGGGGGGGCCCCTGGGGGCCCCCTTGTGGGCCCTAGTTTAGGGTTTTGGGGGTTAAATTGGGCCAAAGGCACTAATTGGGTGAAGTGGATCTAAATGGATTAGATGGATTTAAATGGATTTAAATGGATTAAATGGATTACATGGATTAAATGGATTAAATGGATTTAATGGAATTGAGAAAAGTTGTCGAGGCCGCAGTCGCTCAAGCAGCTTATGAATGTCTCTGCGTCGATTGAACCTGAAGAAGACAAAGTTAAAATAACAATAAAATAAAAATAAAAATGAAAATAAATTTAAAATTAATTTAAAATTGAAATAAATCGATGAATAAATAATCTAGTTTGTCTCGCCGCTTTAAGGGCTTCAAGAGGATAGGAACAATTGCTAATTACCTAGCGCACAGCCACAAACCCTAAACCCTAAACCCTAAATCCTAAACCCTAAATCCTAAACCCTAAACCCTGGAGCGCGCAAACCATCCCAGGGGGCGCTGAGAACACCAGTCTCTTATGAATTCGACGCACATGACCAGCTGGATAAATAAATAATTACTACTTATTTATTTATTTATCTAATAATTATTTATTATTTACTATTATTTATTTATTATTTGTTTATTTATTTATTTACCTGGTTTGCATTTCTCTGCCGCCATTTCTGTGACCATAATGAGCTGCTTTATCGGGATGCTATCCAGGACCCCAGACTGGCAGATCTGCGCCAAACCCCAAACCCTAAACCCTAAACCCTAAACCCTAAACCCTCACAATTGGGCGTCGCTGGCTGCTGCGCGTCCCGGCTCACCGCGGGCCTTTCGCGGCGCTTCTCGCCTAGCTAGCTCCACCAAATAAGCAATTGATTTAATTAATTATTTAATTAGTTTAATTAGTTTAATTAATTCAATTAATTAATTAATTAATTAATTAATTACTTTTTGAATCTCCTCCTCCGGAAACTCGTAGCGGTCTGCGCTGTGCTCCCGCAGCGCCGCCGCGATTTCCTGGGGGCCCCTAAGGGGGGGTACGTCGAGGCAAACGTTGAAGGCCTTTGCAATTCCGGACTCCTGAAGTTCAAAAAAAAGAAAAATAAAAGCGAAATAGGAGCGAGTTAAACACTAATTGGGTGTATTTGAGAAAAGGGAAACGTTTGAGGGGTTTTGCGGGGGTTTGGGGGTTTTATTTCGCGAAAAATCAAAAAAATTGAAGACAGATACGCTGTTTTAGTGTAATTCACGAAAAAGATCTAAAGGGAAAGTCCATCATATTTAAAATAATTAAGTTAATATTTATTCTCTCAAAAAGGGTTTCACTCATCCACAGTCGAGAAAACCCTCGAAAAACCAGGGTTTAGGGTTTAGGGTTTAGGGTTTAGGGTTTGGGGGCTGAAGCCGGAGTCCCCAAAACCCCCGCAATCCCATGAAAAAGCCGAAAAAGAAAACCAACAAAAGAAAACAAAAGAAAACAAAAAGGAGGCAAAAAAGGAACAAAAAGTCTCCAAAAAGACCCAAAAAAGATCCACAAAGATCCGGAAAGATTCAAAAAGTGAGAAAGATGAAAAAATAAAAAGAATGAAAAACAAACCCTGATGAACTCGGGCTCGGAAGTGGTGGCCATCACCAGCAACTTCGAACCCTCTTTTGGCGGCTGCTTCTTCACCAGCACCAGCAGCGCCTGCAGCGCCAAGTTCGAAAACCTGAAGCCCAAGTGCAAAACACTCTTTTAGGGTTTCTCAAAACCCCAGGCGCAAAGCACTCTTTTAGGTTTTCTCGAAACCCCAGGTGCGAGACGCGCTTTTAGGGTTTCTCAGAACCCCATAGCCCAAACCCCATGGCCCAAACCCCAAGTGCAAACCCCTCTTTTAGGGTTTCCCGTGTTTCGTCGGGCCTGCCATTAGGGTTTAGAGGGGCCTTATTAGGGAGCCGTCTAGCTCCCCATCCAGCTCCCCATCCAGCTAGCTATGTAGCTCCCCACCCAGCTAGCCATCTAGCCATC